AAAAAGATAGTAAAGGCCTGGTTTTATAGATAAACCCTTTCCTCTCTCTCTTCTCCTACAGTCCCTGAGAACCCATGTGTAGAGCGTGGGATAATGAATTATATTTCTGAGTAACAAGTTCCAAAGGACCAAAAAGAGTGAGGCTAGTGCTTAGCACTCACTGCAAAGGAAAAACTGGGCAATGGTCTTTTTTTTTTTAAGGAACTATAGAATTTTTAAATCTCAAACTGTACCTAAAAGAGAAAAGACTACCTTACAAAAACTTTTATATTTCTCAATTCAGATTTGGAAAGGTGAGAGATTATGACAAATGTCCAAATTAGTATAAATGGTCTCTCTGCCCTTACTTGGTAGTTTCATTAAATTTTTAAAATTAAAATAAACAAAACAAAACAAAAAAACCCACATACCCTGCAAAACAAAGACCCTTTAGTGAAATTGTCTTGTTTAGCCTGGAAAATATTTAATGCCTTTGTATTCTGTAAAATGTTGAGATAGAGGCAAAATTACTTTCAAGTTTTTCAAATGTCAACTTTTACGCACAGTTCCAGTACATACTGGAAACTAGGTCTTGGTGTGGAAAATGCTCAGAGATCCTGTGGGCTCAGAGGGTTCTGAGAAAAGTTAATAACCCTCTTTTTTCATGTTACTAAAAATGACTCAAGCAAGGCATTCATATATACACCTGCGGGCAGCAGCTGTTAGTGCACACCTCCAAGCTCCTTTTGTTTTCATCTCTGTCTTGCTCACATTTTACAAAGGTGTTTGTTGCAATGAAATTGATTGCCAGCACACTTGGCAATTCAAATTGCATTAGATGTTCCTTCTTTTTTAATTCCATTAACCAAAATGAACGCAATGCAATCTGGGGAAACCCATCATCAGGATCTGAGGACCTGGGGGGTGTGAGACTAGCTCAGACTTTATGATCAGACTTATTCTGTGACTCTAAGTAGCACGGAGAGAGCAGCGTCTCCGCTTCCAAAGCACAAGCTTAGGCCCTGATCTGGATTCTAAAATCGGAACCATTTAAACAGTGATCTTAGTTCCTGATATTTACAAAATGCGTTGATCCGCGGGAAAAGAGGCCCCCAATTAGGAGAATCAAGTTGCCCATCATTCAACATGTTATCTTTTCCCTGAGACCTACTGTGTGGGTCCCAGGATGAAGCAAGCGCGTCGTTCTGTAATCTGTGGGAAAGTTGAGGTAAATGTCGTCTGTCGGTGGATTTCAGAGAGCCCCTTCTCTTAAGATCGTTTGAAATTCTCTTCCAGCCCCTTCCTATAGAGCCCTCACTCACCCAGAAAGTACAGCCATTGTCATGATAATCCGTAGGGAGGGTTGGAGCTAGGAGAGAGATCTCGTGCTCAGGGTTTGTGGGAACTGACGCCTCGGTTCCCTAACGCCGCCAACAATTCCGACTCCCTCGCTATCCGGGCTGCACGCGCGCCTGTGCCATGTGGGAGGTCACATAATTGTGACTTGGAAAGACAGGCCTGGCACCTATGCACGAGTCAGAGCGGGAGGGGGACTTGAGGCAAGGGGAACAGAGGAAACCAAAGCAGCTATAAAGGGGTGTGTTTTCTGTCTTTCCCCTCCATTAGCCAATGCTTCTGTGAGAAGACACAGGTCGTTCTCGGGGTTGCGGTGCTGCTGGCCCAGACTAACCAGGAATGCGTGCTAATCGGTGTGTGTTTCTCTTTTCCCGCCCAGGACAGCTTTCCTGCCCGCTTCGGAGGAGTCCATTTTGTCAACCAGCCCTGGTACATTCACGCCCTGTACACGCTCATCAAGCCATTCCTTAAAGACAAGACCAGGAAGAGGGTAATGAAAAGAAACGCCCAATGCGGGGACTGTGGGGTGGGAGGGACAGTTACGGTGCCCCTCCTCCCAGTCTCTTTCTCTCCCTCGTTTTCTCTGCTTTTCTGTAGTCCCTGAGCATTTGAGCCTCAGCTGGAGTTTGCAAATGGCCTGGATTTAATCAATAATTTAATAGAAGTGGGTTATTTTCAGAGTCCTAGAGACAAACCAAAGGGAACTTTGAAGGCACCCAAATACCAGACGCCCATTTTAATGCAAATGCTTCTGGGAGACACTGGGTCAAGCAGTTTCCTGTTCATGGAGTATTTTAATGGCTGGCATTTTGCCCTGCAAATGTATTATTGTGATGAAAAATATTTGTAATTTGTTTTCCTCCAGAGGTTCTTGGGTCGTAGCTGTCAGCTCTACCACCGTTGAGCCTGGGGAAACATCCTTCATTGGAAAAAATAATGAAGAAGGCTTTTAAAATCTTAATTGCATCAGCGGATGACATTTGGGGGGCCAGCGAGCATCTTTTGTCAGAGCTGGCCTTTTTCGTGGCATTCTGGTTAGCTGACAAACTGAACAGTCCTTAACCACTGTGAATCTTAGCGTCCTCATTTATAAAATGCAGAAGCTGACACTCACATCAAAGACTTGTTGGGATAACTTAATCAGACAACATCTGAAAGCAGGTAGTTCTCATGCAGTAGAGATGCTGTGACTTTTATTTCTATCATTTAGCTCCCTTTGCTTTCAAGCTTTCTGACTTCAGTTCATTCCTGGGTCGGGAGTATCACCTCTCAAGGGAAATTGGCCAGGGTCATGCTTCCAGCATCTTCCATATGCCCCTATACCCAGGGACCCCATGCTAGAGAAGTGCTCCGAGTATTCTGGGGAGAATGATGATGTAAGAGACCCCCCTCATTCCCCTGCCACACACACATACACGCTCTGCAGGGTTCCTAACTCCTAGACCCCAGATGTTTCTGGGTCCTTAGGAAATGTTGCAATAGGGCACAGGATGGGTAATTCCCCTGTCCCTAAATGAATGGGGAGCAAGGAACTAGAGCGCACCAGCCTCAGGAGGCAGAAGTATTCTGGGGCATTTTGCAATCTGTCTGGGGCTCAGGGCCCTGCTAAGGACAGAGACGTGCCCTAGACTGTTCCCAGAGTAGCTTCAGGCTTCCCGCTGGCTTCGTCTTCTACTCAGGAAGGAAAGAGCAAGAATTCCTCCCACCGGGCAATCAGCACTTGGTGCTGTGCCGTACGTAGAAGGGAGTTTCTGGAGATTTAGGTGCAGAACAGAACCTGACAGGTGGGGCGACCCGCCTCCTACCTGCTGAGTGCCTCCACCCACAGGGCCCCCAGCAGAGGGCCAGTTTCCACAGCGTCCCTTGTCCTTACGAACCAGAGGTATTGGGTACAACTGTTTGCTCTTAACACCAGGCTGGTGCTAAGTGCCAGCTTTTCTACACTTCAAATACTACAGTTCCTCCTGTGAGGTGTTTTGTGAAAGCCAAAACACATGAGTTTCTTCAAAAGAAATAATTCTTATTAAAATTTGGTCATACCCAATCCAATGTCAGAAAATGTACATTGTTTTCTGAGGTGCTACAATAGGCTTCTGAAGACTTTTAGTACTTAGCTTCTTGTCTCTTTCCTCTTTAAATAATGCCATTATGTCATAAATTAAAATCAGTACAACAGAACAAGGTAGCAAGTGTTTATTATATACTTACATGGTATATTGTAATGTAGTATATAGTATATAGCATAATGTACTACTTATATGGTATATTATTATACTATACTTACATATTTTAAAAATCACATATATATTTCATCATGGTTAACTGGGGTGTGTGTGTGTGTGTGTGTGTGTGTGTGCATGTCTGTGTATAATTGATGGTTCTATACTTAGGGATAAGTTATGTGTGTTGAGCCTGCAACATGAAGAAGTATGGAAATTTATGTTATTACACAGATGCACTTTGAATGAACTTTCAGGAGTCAATTCCTAAATTGCAGGCAATGGGAATTATCAACTTGCGGCTTATCCACTGTGTTCATTTGTCTGAAAATAATTGTAATTTGGGGGTGTTTTCTCCCCTGATTGACCAATTTCTATCACCCTCCATTATATGTTTAGAAAACGCAAACTTGTTTGGCTATTAACTCTCAATCCAGACATGAATAGAAAATGGCTGCAAAAATATTTCACAATAAATTCCCAGGTGACAGTTTTCAGTTCCATTGACTAAAAATTGATTGAGCTTTTACCTTGTTTGTGCTCACACCACCCAGGGAGCTAAGAGCGTATTAGAAGTGTAAGAAAATACCACCCCTTTCTCTGTGAATCTTTGTCTTCCTGTTGCCAAGCAAGACATAAATGAACAACAACAACAAAAAAAATAGAAGTCAGCAGATAATCAAGAGTTCATTGGGGGTAAGAGGTTGGAGAACCAGTGTGCAGGTGACAATGGGACAGATTTAGGAAGAAGCTGCCACTTGGTGTAGGCCTCAGAGTAATGGGGAGGACGAAGTGGGGTCCAGATGCCAAAGAGCGCTGCAGTGGGGAGAACTGAGCATCGTGGAGATGTGTGTGAAGCATGACTAGGGGTTTGGATGGTCTGCATCACTACTCTTTTCATCAGTAAGGTTAATTAGAAGATGACTGTATGTGTAAATTTAGGCCATGGCCAAATAATATCCAATTTGTTCTTAAACTTCCTTTTTAAAGGACTATTAATTCAGCCCTTTTCTGAGCAATAAATTGACATTTCACAAAGATGAAGCTACAGACACAAGACTGAACGCCTCCTTAAATACCATGATCACCAGCAGCACATCTAATTTGTCATCGCTCTATTGTGTATTAGATCAAACACTCGGTCCTATGTTTTGGATTTTTTTTTAAACTGCTCGTTATCTTTTTCTTCTTAGATCTTCCTGCATGGAAACAATTTAAACAGCCTTCATCAGCTAATACACCCTGAATTTTTGCCCTCTGAGTTTGGAGGAACGCTTCCTCCTTACGACATGGGAACTTGGGCCCGGACGTTACTCGGTCCTGACTACAGCGACGAAAATGACTATACTCACACTTCTTACAATGCAATGCACGTGAAACACACATCGTCTAATCTGGAGAGGGAATGCTCGCCCAAGCCGATGAAGAGGTAAGGCCTGGCTTATCAGGGCCTCCCAGTCAGAGGTCACTGAGCATTTGATTGGGGCCTGTTGTGGGTTAAGTAATTGAAGAGCTTTATGGGCGCAGAATGTGAAAAAAATAAATCACAAAATATTCTCAACTGATTTTAGTAGAATTGAAAGCAAATGGGGCTTGGTCGGCCCAGAAATATACTTGTCCTGTGGTATTAAAGGAACTGTTAAAAGCTAGGACCTCGTTCATGTCCTGATTACAGCTCTAGTCTCTAGGCAGTCTGTTAATAAACAAAGAATGGAATCTTGGACCTTTGAGATGCACTGGATAGAAAAGCAACCTGCTAAAAGAGTCCCTATCATTCAGGCATTTGGAGCCATTTATTGAGCATTTACTTAGCTGTAGGCACTGATCAGGCACTGGGAGTCCAAATATATTGAATAAGACATCAAAAGAACAGAGACGTGGACCTGGGGAAAACTTCCAGCAATGTGTTTATAAAGCAGGTGACATTCTAGCTGAGCTCTGAAGGATGACAATCAGCAGCCCAGGCTTTAAAAAAAGAGAAAAGACATACCAAGCAGAGGAACCACCCAGAGGCTTGGAGGCATTAGAGGGATGGGCCGTTCTGATGCGGTAGATAGATGCGCAGGGGTTGGCGATGACAGTGGACTTGTTATGAAGTTCCAGAGATCGTCGTGTCCAGGTGGTGAAGTACATTGCATACTGTATTTGATAGAGTGCCATGGAAGTGGTTTTTAAAAAATGGATATACAAATAATATATGAGTGCTTTCTCAGTGTAGCCTCCTCATTTTTAAAGCAAAAGTCCCCTTCAACCACTGTCCTCAGTTCCAATCCCTACCCAAAGGTAACTGCTGTTGTCAGGCTGGGGTGGACCCCTCCACTTGGTTTTCTGTACATTACATGCATCTATACTCACCCATAGAAAATATCTAATGTGTATTATTATAGTTTGCTAGGGATATTGTAATAAAGTACCAACGACTAGCTGTCTTCAACAATGGAAATTTGTTTTCTCACAGTCCTGGAGGCTAGAAGTCCAAGATCAAGGTGTCGGCAGGGTTGGTTCCTTCTGAGGCCTCTCTCCTTGGCTCATAGATGACCATCTTCTCCCTGTGTCTGCACATGGTTTTCCCTCTGTGTGTGTCTATTTGTGTCCATATTTCCTCTTTTTATAAGGACAGCAACCATATTGCATTAAGGCCACCCTCACTTGAACTTAATTACCTGTTTAAAGACCCTCTATCCAAATATAGAGACAGTCTGAGGTCCAGGGGTTAGGACTTCAGTGTACAAATTTTGGGCAGACACAATTCATCCCATAACATATTGTTATGTAGCCTCTTCCCACGTTAGTAAATCTAGACATATCTCATGGTTTTAACGCTGCGTAGTATTCCAGAGCATGGATAGCTCACAGTTTAGCCATTTCCTTTTGATACATTCAGGTGTGTGTGTGTGTGTGTGTGTGTGTGTGTGTGTGTGTGTGTGTGTGTGTTCTCTCTCTCTCTCTCTCTCTCTCACACACACACACACACACACACACACAGCTCAGTGAATGTCCTTGATATTGCCTCATTCTCACTGGAAANCAAAAACAATATGTAATTATATATTGTGAAATATTTATTTCTAATTACAAATAAATGAAATTTTGTCTTGAAGCATGGAGACGGATAGAGGAGTGGTGTCTTGGTTCCTAAGACCATTGAAAATATGTGTTTTCCGATGGTCTTAGGTGACCCCTGTGAAAGAATCATCCAATCCCCAAAGGGGTCGCGACCCACAGGTTGAGAACCGCTGCCTTAGAATGTCCTGACATGTATGGTCTGCTTTACAATTGCCCTTGGCATTTTTTGTTTAACATTCCATGTGAGGCAGAAAGAATCATCCTTAGAAATGCTTCTACTCTACTTAAAAAAAGTAAAAATAAAACAAAAAATGGCTACTCCCATTTGGGGGAGTTTTGAAATAGTTGCAATAATCATATTCTTTAATTTTTATTTTAAGGTAATTGCAGATGCACACGCAGTTTAAAAGATATTACAGAGAGAACCCATATAGCCTTTAGTTTCCCCCACATGTGACATCTTGTAAAACTACAAAGCAATATCACAACCAGGATATTAACATAGATACAGTCAAGATATAGAGCATTTTCATCACCACAAGAATCACTTATGTTACAATTTTATAGCCATACCTACTTCCTTCAACCCCTACCCAATCCTTTACCCCTGGCAACCACCAATCTGTTGTTTCCATAATTTTTTCATTTCAAAAATGTCATTAGTCAATGGAATCACAATGTAACCTCTTAGGGTTGACTTTTTTTCACTTAGCAAAATTCTCCAAAGATTCATTCATATTAGTAATTGTTCCTTTTTATATTAGTAATTGTTCCTTTTTTTGTTTTGTTTTTTAAATTTTTATTGGGTAACAGTGTATTTTCTCCAGGATCCATCAGCTCCAAGTCAAGTCATGGTCCTTCAATCTAGTTGCAGGGGGCGCAGCCCACCATCCCAT